GAGGCCAGGATAGTGGAGAGGAGTGAAGTTGCTGGTTACGAATTCAGGACGATAGACGGTGACAGTGGTTGGAGGTGATGGGTGCCCCGATGTGGCTTTGGAGACAGGGATTGGGGACAAGATACAGGAGGGGGAAGAAGGGTGCTAGTCAGAAATTCGAAGCAAGGATTGCAAATAGCAGTAAAAAGGAAAATAAACCAACACGGCACTACAAAGAAAAGTAAATTAAAACAAACCTGAGTTTGTGAATAAAAGGAAAAAAAGCAAAATCAAAGAACTGGAGCCTGTAACCAAAAGCAAAAAAAGCAAAAGCAAACAAAAACTGAGCTTATGCGAGTAGGATTTGCCCTACAAGAACCCGCTTCAGTAAGCAGTCCCCGCATATGTGAGGATTATGCTTAGATGAAGCTGAGGGCAAATAAGTTCGACAGGATTTACCGAAGCTTATGCTTAGGTGAAGCTGAAGGCAAATAATTTCGGCGGGATTTACTGAAGCTTATACTTAGGTGAAGCTGAGGGCAAACAAGTCCAATTGGATTACACAAGAATTGCAGACATTTCCACAGTGTTGCCTCTTGCAGCCTGCAACTATGCACAACAGTTAAACCTTTGTTTTTTTATTTTCAAAATCTCACAGGAACAAAAGCTGACTTCATCCCCAGACATCCAGTCTACCCTGCCCTTGCCCAATTCATGGAACTTATTCGCTCTCAGCTTTACCTAAGCATCAGTTTCATAAATAGGGGAGCCTAATGACGGGTTTTTATGGAACAGCTTTACCTAAGCATCAGTTTCATAAATAGGAAGGTCTGATAACAGCTTTTTATCGAATAACTTTACCTATGCATCAGTTTCATAAAAAGGGAAGTCCCAGGAGCGCACTTCCTCATTCTTTCCGTTCTTTACCGCTCCCTTCTCCCCTCGAATGTACGTTACTTAGTCTTAGTCAATCGGCAAAGGATCTACGCCATTTATTCCTTATATCCACCTGTCCTAGTCCCCTCTCCTGATTCGAACAAAACCCGCCACATACCCCCGCACTTCCACCTGCCACATTCAAACTGCAGCCATCCGCCGTGAGACAGCCCTACCTGTTGTCAGGAGAAAAAATTTTTTGTGGCTTTTGTATGAGACGAGGCGAG